CCCTATATCCGCTAACATTGCTCGTCGCGGGAGGCGATGGCTTGGCATACGTAACACATGTCCTAACCATCTCAGTCTTTGTAGCTTCACGACTTCGTCGATTGATTTCCCCTGTTTACCTAGAACTCTACGCCTAACCTCCATGTTGCTCACCTTATTATGCCACTTTACACGGGAAATAGAACGCAGGCACCTATGATCAAAGACAGCTAGTCTTTTCATGTCTCCCACTCTCAGTGGCCAGGTCTCACAACCATAAAGGAGGACAGAGCGGACTGATGAGCAGTACACCCGCCCTTTGGTCGATAGTCGAACATCTCGTCTACGCCAAAGTTGGCGTAAACTAACAAATGCGAAACGAGCCCCCTGTATTCGTGCTGAGATTTCGTCTGAGATCAGCCCGTTGGGGCTGATGGTACTTCCCAAATAAGTGAAGCGGTCAACGCGCTCTACCACTTCACTTCCTATTTTTAAACTAGGCGTCGATGTAGTCCAGTCCTGTAACATCATCTTGCATTTGGCGGGAGCGAATCGCATGCCAAACATTCGTAGATTGCGGCTCAAGGTGTTTAGAAGACTCTGCTGTATTTTGTCAGCGTCTTCGCCTAGAAGGACTATATCGTCTGCATATTCTAAGTCAACGAGATTATTCCCCGGTAGCAAGTCAATCCCTGAGTCGCTGAAGTCACCTAGGGTTAAGTCCATTAACACATCTATGATGAAGTTGAATAGAAAAGGAGATAATGGGCATCCTTGACGGACACCACTGGTCGTCATCAGTTCAGATGACAGCTCGCCGTAAGCCCTCACCTGGCTGTATGAGTACGAGTAGAGTGCCTTAATCAGTGCAATATATTTTCTTGGAATTCCCTTTACAGCCAAGCATCTCCAGAGAACTTCTCGATCGACAGAGTCGAATGACATCGCGCTCAATGCAGACTATTGCCCGAGTGGAACCCAGTGGGAAGCAACGAGTGGGTCGTCATGCAGGAGACCACGTGAGGAGGAAGTGGAGGAGATGAGAGAATAATGGTCAATTGTGGCACTAGCCACTTGAATATGGCAGCGGAAAATAGGAGAAAGTGGAGATATGTTGTCTGACTCGGAACCCAAGCGATAAATATCACAATATAATATCAGGGTTTAGTGATTTTAGACATAGGTGTACCGTAGCAACCCAGCTTCTCTCTATCTCTAATTCTGCCTAAATTTACAGGTCTCTTGTTAGGTATCAAATCAAAAACAATCAGATGAATGCAAACTCTGGTGGAATAACAAACAGCCCAACAAAGTAATCCGTCCCCAATGTCCATAAACGCGCTCAGTGTAGACCACTGCACGAGTGGAATCCCAACGAGAAACGAGGAGTCAGCTTCCAGTGCAAGGGTGACTTGAAGGAGGTAGTATAGCGAGGAGGAGGAGGAGGAGATGAGAGATTATGGTCAATCGTGGTGCTAGCCAGCTGAAAAGGAGAGCAAAGAACAGAAGAAAGTGTTGATGTGATGCGTCGGCAAATCCCTGTGTTTTACTCAGAAGCCTAAGAGATCTACAACTCCTGAACGATATACGTCTTGTGTCACACAAACTCATAAATCTACCGGATAAAACCAACAAGATTAAAGAAGAATAGGCAGTCAACAATGACAGGACTTCAAGTGAACATTGCTAAGAAGACGGGGGTGATGAAAGGCACAAGCCAACAGTAATAACACCAACAAAATGCACCGGTCATTATCAATTGAAGAAACTCGAAAGAGGAAATTTCCTTTGAATCTCTAGGAAGCATCGTTTCAACTACAGGTGATAACATGAATGAAGACATCAAAACCAGAATCGTAGGAGTAAGACAAACCTTTACCAATCCCTCATTTGCATTCCCAGTGAAACAGAAGGCTTCAAGCCTCCTGCCTTGAGGTTGTCTTCACGGAGAGGGGTTGGTTGGTTGGTTGGTTGGTTGTGGGAGTTAGTTCCGTCTTTTAAGGTCTTACTCCCGTGTAGGTGAGGTTTAAGAGTTCACCGACTTAGAACCAAACTCGAATCACATGTGTGGATGTCGATCATCCTACCATTGAACCACGGACACACCGTTATAGATAATATCTATTCTTCCTTCTGTAGGCATCAGTGGTGATGCAGACTTTGTCTCATGAAACAGTATAGACATTTTATCTCATTGCTGACAGAATATCTTCTGATCGGGAAACGCTCTAGTAGTAATTGTGACAAGTTGATCGATACTCAAAATGCAGAAGTGTTACTAAGATGTGACATGATTATCTCTTATGATTTCTCAAAATTTTAGGCTTAAAAGTTTCTTTCGTCGTTAGAGAATCGATTAATTCATCCGTCACATAGAAAGATAGAAACCAAACGTTCAGTGATATCATTGAATCGCATCTACAGTTATAATAAATAAACTTAGTAACACACACTGAATGTTTGCAAAGATCCGTCGATAAAATTGGTATAAGTATAAAACTTGGGCACTGTGGTGGTAGAGCATAACTCCATTATGGATAAGATTTTAGTGTGATAAATCACACAGTGGTGTTATACAGTAATATTAACTGATGAACACGTTTCCAGCACAAACTATTGCCACTCATAATCATCATATCAAGGCATCACTTACACAACGTTCTTCCTTCATTTATATACATGTGTGAAACTGACTAGATATTTAAATAAAAATCAATATAATTTTTTTTAATTTTTAATTTTTGATTTACAGCTTGATTTCACACTGTATTTTTGCTACAAGTATGGAATTTTCAGCATGGATATCGGTAGCCCAAATTTTGCAGGCCGACCATAGATATCACGTGTGCGCCGGCGTGGGCTTGAACCCCGGACCATGCGCATGGTCGGCGAGAGTCCTAACCACTGTGCCACCGATGCACATTCAGAAATAAATAGAATTTTGAGATTATTTACTACCCTCTTCTGATTTAACTGACTGGTGATGATATCTTCCATACATATCTCTGGTATTTGCATTGAGTCATTTCTGTTGCGTGTGTAGGGTGTAGACTCGATGAACCAGGATTCAGTAATCAATCTCTCTCGAGCTCCACCAACATAGATTACTTCTTAGAATCTTAACCCTCTCCCACCCACCCTATTGTGTGGTTGTGTGTTAATGCATGCAGTGCAATGTGTTGCTGAGCTTTTTTCTAAATTACTCATCTTCTCGGGTGGGATCAACCATTCTTACCTTAGCTTAATTCTTATGTTCCGACAATCTGCCCACCCCTGATCTACAAGTTTGACCTATGTAGTTGACTTAACTCACAGTCATTGCAGGATATTTTGTAAATTATATTATTTTGTCTAATTGGGTCAACTTTCAGGATCCCTTAGCCTACAGAGCTTGTTCTACCTGAGTGATTTTGTGGGAAGGTTTGAATGCCACCTTAATTCTTGCTCTATTATGAATCATACATAGGGTCTCAGATGTCCCCTCCCTCCTTATATGATATAACAGTAGATGACTTATATTCTCTGTTATTTATGTTATCATTATTATTAGTTTCACAATTATTTTTATTTTGCTTTTGGCGTTTTTCGATCTTCCTAATGAATTTTATAGGATAGTTATCAAAATGAAATCCTATTCATAATGGGGTAAAATTGGCAGTTCTAGATGAAAGTTACTCAATACAGAAAACACTAATTAGCTGCAAACTAAAATGAAATAAGCAAAACTAAGTGACGTAATATAATTGACAGGATTCAGTACAGATCAAGTAACACTGAAACAGGGTCAAGTTAAGATCAGTGTGATGAGGAGTTGAAATTATATTAGTAACGAGAAGGGAGACAATTTGGGACTGTTGTAGGTTCACTAACTGAATAAATGTTCGGCGTATACACAGTTCAGGAGGATCTAACACTGTCGAATTACTTTGGTAAGATTTCGGCATACTCTTTAGATGGGCGAGTTGGTTAGGTGTCCAGAGGTGGTCAGGTGTTTCCGAATACAGCTGCGGTTGGGGTGCCTGTGAAATTATTCAATAGTACACTTGGATAGCAACCGCTATTTACATCCGATATACCTAGCTCCACAGGATCAGGTTAATTGGTAGATACACACTGAGGAAGCAATCTGTTTTATGTTAAGCCGAATAACAGAAATGGTGTATACGCGTGTGTGTGTGTGATTGCGCGTGCATATAAGCCTGTTTGTTTTAGAGTGTTCACACTGATACAGCGTGAACCATATCAAAGATAAAAGTTTGTATTGCTCATATTGTGAAAATCTTGCTGGTTAGGTAGGTGTACCTCAAAATAAGGAATGTCGATTCGTTACATCTATGTGGTTTGGAGACTAGGCGAAGCTTTTGTCAACAGCCTACTGCAAACATCCGTCAGTACTTCCCTTCTGTGTTGTTGTTGCTAAATGTCAGATTGCTGGCAGTGAAAGTCAAGCCACATGGGACCATATCCACTAACCAGCCAAGAGCCTCTGACCTTGTATAAATGTGTCTAAGAAAATGAGAATGGAATGAAAATACAAGCCAGAACCTCCAGTGAAACCCCAATGGCGAAACGTTGACTTGGGCCTCAACCCGAGTGTGAAAGAAAAGAGATCGAGTGAGGAGTCATTGTGGAACCAACTGATAAAACCATTTAGACAATCGAGTGAAATCATGATGGATGGTCTGCTGAAGCCTAATGTTCTACTCGAAACCTAGTAAGGGAAATAATAATAATAGTAATAATAAGCGTGCCTATCTTCCCCTCTCCCCGACCCTCACTGAATGCAGGCTATTCTCGCTGAAACTTCTCAGCCTAGAATCAGTGGTTTCAAATACCAAGCAGTTTTTCACTTGACTGCTGCGTCATCCTGCCTTCACCCGAAGACGTCGACAAAGTATACTAACTAGAAGTCAGCATGACAATAGAGACTGAGGAATTCAGTCAACTGAAACAGATCAACCACATTATACATGTAAATTTTGATGATAATAATAATACAAATAAAAAGTTGTACAACTTACCCAAGACGAACAGCATAAGTCTAGGACCTAAATCTCTTGCAGGATTCAAAGCACATCCAGCATTTAATGCGAAAGCACCGACTAAAGAAAAAACTAAAAATGCAAGATGCAGTGGATGTAAATAGTCAGGTAGTTTCCATCCATTCGGATCTGTAATAGCCAACGCACCAGCTGCCAACAATGCTGTACCAAGTACTTGATCAAGGAAACACGTCAAATGTGATGCACCAGGATTTGTAACAAATATCCCACCCGTTGTGTTCAACAACAATTTCCCTCCATCATTCATATGCGCATACATGAGAATTTTCTCCCGATAGACAAAAAATATCACAACTGCACCAAGAAAACCTCCAATAATTTGACAGATAGTATACAAAGGTACACGTCGAAAGGGTACTTTTCCAATCACACAAAACGCCAGTGTAATCGCTGGATTGATATGCCCTGAACCACATTTTCCAGAGAAAAACACTCCCATATAGACAGCGAATCCCCAACCCATACTCACAGATATAAATGTCCCATGCGCTTGCTTTCCATTATCCCCAAGAAACACTTGTGCCATAACACCACAACCAAAAATAACCAATATCATTGTACCGAGTAATTCAGCGATGCAGGCACGAACTAACGGGACTGAAGATAATCGCATACGATCTGCTATCCTGTGTTGCCCTGCAGCATATTTCTCAGAGCAGGAGACCATTTTCACGCGTCGTCTCTGTGATGATATTCTATTACTTCGAGATGGAGTAATTTTTATGCGGGTTATATTTATTCAACAAGAAAATGTCTCTAGTTTATAAAGGTTGGTTTGTTTTTGGGTGTGTGTGTGTTCTTGTTTGTTTATGGCGACAGAGAGAGAGGGAGAGTTAGTCAGAGATCAATGTGTTGATGTAAATAGTGGTGTCGTAGATGAAGCGATCAAAAGTGCTGACGCAATGATGAGACAACACAAAAGGGGTTTAAATAGAAATTAAAGTAATATGAGTGATACCACTATATATACATGCATATATATATATATATATGTACAGTACACACACTCTCTGGCTCTCCCTTCTCCACCCCCCTGCACCATCGAGAACGCACCAACACACATACACACGCACATGCTCAAACACAAGGTGGGGTAAAGATTTAATTATAATTTATTACTATTCTTAAGACAACAGAAATAGTTGTAGTAGTAGAACCGACATACTTTAAGCGTCAATCATTTGAAATCACATTTTTGTATTTTGTCTTTCAAGGCTGGTGTTTATGTAATACAAAAATACTTTTACCAGTAATCATTAATATACTAATAATAGTTGAAGACTAACATTGCAAAAAAATTCAGTATGGATCAGTTAACTGTAAAATACAGATCAGTGTGTAAATACTTTTTAATCAGATTTCTACTACTACTATTACTATTGTGGTGGTGGTGGTGGTGTGATACAGACAGTGTGTGTGCCAACAGAACATTATTCTCACATAAGCTCTTATCTGTGAGTGAGTGAGTGAGACTTCTGCACCTGTGTCAATTAAACACACGCCAACTCACCGTTATTTACTCACAGCTTCGAATACATCGCCTCCCCCCTCCAACATCCTTCGCAATTGCCTTTACTACTTCTAGTCTCGGAGAATAGAAAGAAGATACACTTTACCTTTAAAAACTGTTTTTTCTGTCATCTCTCCGGGTAAAGGTTTTTCTAGTGCTTCAGTTTATCGTATGCAAAACATGGGCCTCTCCTCAGGTTCATTCTCAACTCTGGCCACTTCAAGTTGCAACTCTTCAATTTGTTGTCCCCATGGCTTGGCTTTTTGGTGACTGTGTCGCGACAACTTTTGCAGGCTCCCCAATGTCCAGTGGCTGTGCGGTGTGAATAATATGTAGCTGTAAGATCTTATGTTCTGGAACACTCTCCATAAGCTGAGACGTCAAGATTTGTGCCTCAAATCTTCGCCCAATGTTGACAGTGCGTGACGCAGTAGGTTTGTCAGAGGCAATGCCAATAGAAGAGGATCATCGTCAACTCCAACCAAGCTTCGTGGTATCAAAACTGCTACATCTCCTGCTCTCTGTCCATCGACTTGTTGAACTCCTCCTTCAAGAGTTCACTACTGACTTACAAGTTGCTTCACCATCTCTTCGCTTCACACTAACATATACTGCCTTCATCCGACCTCTAAGCAACGTTCCAAGTGAAAACCTCTTCGTTGACGGATCTTAAACGCCATGGAACTTCGCAACCACCTCGAAGTCCTTCAAGAAGATTTATATATCTCCTTCTTCTTCGAAAACTGCAGGCCATAAGATTTTCATTTTTTGACAGGTAGAGACATCAAATGTAACCAAAGAAGGCAAGACACGGAGGTCAAGTTATATTTTTTCATTGATCAAACCACTGTTTATATATATATGAGCAGTTTATATTCGTTAACCAATCACCGAGCTTGTGATTTCGGTTTATATCAAAGGACATGGGTTAGAATGTTCATATATACCTAGTATTCTGTTGCCAATGCAGTACTGAACTGTGGGAATAACATTCCGACTCTGAAACCAAAAAGAATGTTTAAATACATATATATTGTATTCTATTGTTATTGCCGACTTGACTTGTGGGAATATTTGAGAGTAATATATGTTGGCACACGCTGTCTGTATCACACCACCACACTAGTACTACTGAGAGTACTATTATTATTTTTGATATAAATGGAAGAAACCTGAAAGAAACAACCTCCTTTACCTACCCACCTACCTGGGAAGCATCGTTTCAACTACAGGCGAATGGAACTGACGAGGATATCAAAGCCAGAATCGGAAAAGCAAGACAAGCTTTCATTACTCTCAAATCTGTGTGGAGGTCAACAGCACTCAGCATGAAACGAATATAAGATCCGGATTTTCAACTCCAATGTGAAGTCAGTCAGTGCTACTTACTATACGGATCAGAGACTTGGCCAGCGCATCATAAAGAGCACCTTAAGCAAACCACAGACCTTCATCAACAGGTGCATTCGCTCAAAACTACTCAAGATCAGATGGCCAGGAAAGATCAGCCACAGGGATCTCTGGCAACTAGGGGACCCACCAGGAACCGATTGTGTTACAAATGGAGATGGATTGGCTGGCCATACGCTGAGGAAACCATCAAGTGAGTGACATCACTAGACAAGCCATTGCTCGAGTGGAACCCAAAAGGGAAGCGGCGAGTTGGTCGTCAATGTGAGGGTGACTTGGAGGAGGTCATGTGAAGAGGAGATGAAAGTAGACTTTGAGAGGGGTGGAAAAATTGGCAGAAAACCGAAGGCGATAGAGATGTGCAGGTGAAACCCTATGTTCCTCTGGAATTAAGGGATATAATAATATAATAATAATACTACTCGATATTATCAGCCTAGTTATTGGAGAAAATTTGTAGCTTATTTGAGGTGGATAGTTCAATCGCAAAATATTTATTCCTCATATTATGTAAATCACTATGAATGAACTATCCTTTAAGAATTCTTGATAGAAGTAATTACCACTACTAAAGCGACTATTTGTCTCTGATCATTATGTTCACATTTATTAGCAAGGATTGTATCACTGATCTGATGTACGTACGATTTTATTTGTTCGGTGGTGGATAGCAGTGGAATATACGTTGAACATTTCGTCCTGTTTGGAAATCGTCATCTGAAACGGAGGTGTGTGTGAATGAAGCTGTTATGTTGCTGCTGCTAAGTGGTTAATAGTAGTTTTCCCCGTCGCCAAATTGTTATGTACTCGTCGCCAAATTATTGCTATGTCCTGGTCGAGAATTTAATAGCCCTGACGCAAGAAGGCGGAAATCAGAAGACCACTAGGTTTGCGATGATACTTCTATTTTCCAAACACAAGGAGAAGCAATAAGTGTATCACACCAAAAGTAAGTAAGTCACACAAATTGTGTGAGCGAAATATATATGACCATCCAGACAAGTGTGTGAACAAATCAATAGACAGTCTTAACATGAATGGCTAATTATAATGGAGTGTCGATTCAACTATACATAGCAAAATATAGCAGACATGTCAACAACCACACATATATGGATATTTGTCACCAAGCAACGGACTGTCAACATACACTCATATTATATATAATATAATATAAGGAGAATATACATTGTTAAAGGAGACAGGTTCATCAAGTGAAATGGTCACAGACTAAGTGAGCAACCAGAAAGAGAGACCACCATACACATATATATATATATATATGTGGATACATATCAGAAGCCCTATGTTCCACCCACAATCTCTAAGGGAATACTAATAAATGGTATCTTGGATGCGCATGTCGTCCTTTTCCATACTCATGACCTACAACGTATTTGAATATCCAATGAGTTATTGCATTTTCTGGATGCTGGTACACCCATTCGAATGTGAATGTCAAAAGCAGAATCAGAAAGGCGAGATACACCATCAGCCTGAGACCTTCACTCAGACTCAGCAGCACAAATGTGAATTCAATGAATGCTTCTATACGAGTCAGAGGCTTACATGGCGAATCAGGAAAAGGATTTCCAACAAGTTATAGACGTTTATCAATAGTTGACCATTTCACTGGCTACCTCCATACTAAAGATCAAATTTTACCAGTTAGAAAGAATAACCAATAAGGACCTTTGGGGGGGGGCGAACCAAACGAGAACTTGTAGCCTAAAAAATAAGCAAGATAAAATGTAGGTGGAGTGGAGATACGCTAAGGAGGCAGTTAAATGATATCACGCCCCGAGTAGACCGTGAGTACCGACATTCGTGATGCAGGTAATTCCATTTGAAATAAGCTAAAAATCTTGTTAAGAAAGCAGAATTTAATGAATTCATCTGACCCTGACAGAACTCTTCAGCTGAATAGGCTACATACAATGATGTACCAATCAGTACTACCAAAAATACATTTCGAGATACATAACCAATAAGTAAATAAACTATATTGATTCAACCACGTGAAATGATTAGTGTGAATATTTTGCACGTCATTTTCAGATAGATAAGACGTGTGGAGTCATGAAAATCTAAAAATAAGATTACTAGGATTACAATTCAGTGACGTCACTTAAATAAACAGTTAGTTATGAGAGAAAGAAGTTGAAAATGTTACGAGTTTTACCGTTTTGCCATCACCAGGAAATAACATGGAAATAATTCGCGGTAAGAACTGAACTGCGTGTTCATGTAACGACCAAAACACACTCATTTTCGCCTGAATTCAAGTAAACGGTCTTTGTGTCCTACTGTGTATGGCTATCTAAAATTCTTCTGAGAGATCCACAATCACGAAGTACACCGAAGACAGCCAAAAGATGACTATTTGTCGATAGATCTATGTGGTTATATTACAACAACAACAACAGTGATAACATCAAAAATTCGAAATTACCTCAACTGTGCTCTTAGGCGGTTGGTTATACAGTCAGGAGGACGTCCTAGTAAGACGTACCTTCCAATCAAGTAGAATATTTTCAACAAGGTAGGAGGGATCGCAACTCGGTGCACAAAAGTCACACGCCGATAGTTCCCACAGATAGTTCAAGATCAGAATGATCGTGGTCCAAACAAACAAGATCATATCGTCAAACAACACACTACCGATGTAACCCATGAAAATTAGAATTTGAACAGGAACGTTGAAAAAAATAAGCATCGAGTCAACAGGTGATATAGTCAAGTTTCAGAAGAATGAGGAAAAGTCCAGGAGAATAGAAAAAGGGGATGACGATTATGAAGTCAGCTGAAACATTCAAATATGTAGAAATATTATGAGATTGTTCATGACGGATTCACCAAACATTGATCACCTTACAATTGGTTTAGATTTCACCACAAACCACTGAAATTGAAAGCATACTGAACGAATGTTCCGTCCAAGATTATTTCACCTCATTGATGACAGTAGACATTAAAAAGTGCATTTGACATCAGATTCTTAACTCATAATTCATCACTTCCAACTTGCTTCTCACCGTAGT